AAAAATTGTCTCCATAGCTATCTCTTTACTATAATAACCGTTCCAGATTTCTACTAAAATTAATGGTTACGTTTCACATGAAATAATGTACTATTTTGAATATCCATAAATAAATAGTGACTAATAAATCCCACTATAAACTATGTTTTTTTTCCTGGTATCAGTTCCCTGTATATTTATTACCTAAACCTACAGAATCTACATCACTGCCAAAGTTCTTTCTATATTCCCCCTTCCTAATATACAATCACTAGCTTTTAAACAAAAGCTTTGTCTCTTTAATGTAGCATAAGAACACATATGAATGCTGCAGTGATAATACAGTCCCACATTGTAGCTCTGCTCACTATAGTTGAGGTCAACATCATGTGTATTCTTTTTAAAAAGCAACCATTGGCTGGGCGCAGTGGCTGACGCCTGTAATCCCAGCATTTTGGGAGGCTCGAGGCAGATTGCTTGAGCCCAGGAGTTCAAGACAAGCCCGGGCAACACAGCAAAACCTCGTCTCTACAAAAAATCAAAAACTTAGGCAGGCGTGGTAGCACTAGCCTGTAAAGTCCCAGCTACTTAGGATGCCGAGGTGGAAGGATTGCCTGAGCCCAGGAGGTCAAGGCTGCCGCAAGCCGTGATTGTTGGGATCATGCGAGAGTGAGACGGCTGACTCAAATAAATAAACAGCAACTGTTGTTAACGGGTCTTTTTAGTACTTTGGTAAAGACCTGTCGGCAGTTGGCTTACTTTACAGCATCTTTTATCCCTGCTAAACAAAGGTATTTGCAAAGTACAATGGAGTGAAACAGAATTAACATTAAAATAAGACACACAGCTCTTGTCTAGTTAAGTACTACCTTAGTCAAATCACACAACTTATCTTAACCCGTTTTATTACATGCAACATAAGAGAACCAGATGGGCGTTTGATTCTCATGACTCTCATAATTCTACATGATCATTTCATTTACTCATTCAACAAATATTTATAGAGAACTATCTAGGTGCTAGGCAAATGTGTGAGGCAAACGTGATAACTACTATGCTACCAAAATCTGGGGTTACAAATGTGGATATGTTTTGCTGAAGGGGATACACAACTTCAATTACTGGTAAGTGCCATAAAAGATAAATGAAAAAGATCTAGGTTGACTCAGGAAATGATTCTCTAAGGAAGTGACATTTGAGGTAGGACTTGAAGGGTAAGGAGTCAGTCATATGAAGTTCCAGAAGAAGAACACTAAGCAGAGGAACAACTACAAAGACAATTCATCTTAGTGACTTTCCCAACCCATGATGGTCACTTTATTTTAAATTATGGCTTAAGTGCTCAGTTTACATTACATTCACAGTTTTAAATTTGTGGTTCTGAAAACATAATTAAATGTTCTGAGTTTATTTTAGTGTCATACTAAGTTAGACATTTTAAGGATAGAATCCTAGGATTCTTCTATTCATCTTCCACAATATCCTAGCAGTATTATACACAGGGAATGCTCATTAAGTGTTCAGGACCAATTATACTACAAAGGAAATCAGTATTTTGTTTCCCCATTCCCATATTACGTTTGGTTATAGAGTTCTCCAGAAAGAACTGAAGTGATATTGTAAGTCTCATGGAAAGAACAACTGACTCAAGTGAGAAATCTCAAATTCAATTTCCAGCTCTTCCATTTACATAGGCATATGGCTTCTGGCAAATCAAACTCTATGACCACTTGTCAATATCTGTAAAATGGGATATCAGTTGCTGTGTCTACCCACGGTTAGCTGATCACCAACTAAATTCCATGGAGGATCATGATCACTGTCCTTAAAGAAGTTCTAAGCTTACTGTGGAAACAGCATAAATACTGGAAACAATGAGCATGTTTTCACTTTAGAGCTGGAAAAGACCTTGAGTGATCTTGTTCGCTCCCTTATTTTACATAAATAATCACAGGCCCAGAAAAATGAGGTGACTTGCTCAAATTTACAGTAATACACTATGGCAGAAATCAGTACAGCATCTACATTTTCTAATTTTCAGTCCAGTACATGTTCCATCATGCCACACTGTCTTCACCCCTGCTTGAAACCTTATCCCAATATATATGCTCTTTGTTCCAACATTCCCTACATCTAGATCCAGAATGGTAGAAACTAAATGACTTTCAAAAAGCACCTGGGTAGATTTCTGAGGCTGAGACCTTACATAATAGGATATCAGAATTGAATTTAAGAAGTGCCAAATTAATATTACTGAGTTAAAATATTAGGAATGCAAGGATTAAAATCAGCTGATGTCTTATAAATATAAATCTGCTAAATGACTGCATATTTGGCCCATGGCTAAAATGTTTTTTTAACATAGTTTCTAATTATATCAATATGTGATTCAATTATGTTATTTGAGAAATACAAAATATGATTTTTTAATTTAAGAGGCAATATACTTGTACAATACAAAATACTGAAAGCAATGTAAAACAGTTTTTGTTTCTGGTCATCTTTCTTTGTTCTCTTATTCGTGATTTAACCTAAAAGTGAACTCTAAGTTGAGAAATAGCCATTGAATGTCTATCATACACCCTGGATTAATGTGAAAATAAACAGTATTGAAAAACGAAAAAGAACAAAATCAAAAAATACCCTAAATGACTGCCTACTATCAGAAAGAAATTTTTGTCCAAAACCAGAAATCTACTCAACAGGAATTAATGTTCTGAATACACACACACACACACACACACACACACACACACTCTCTCTCTCTCTCTCTCTCTCTCTCTGAAATATTATCTGATCTGAAAGAAGGATCTTGAAGGCTTTGGCAGAAAAGAAACAAAATGACAAATGTCTCCTTAGTAACTTGCTTTCTGCCATGAAGCAAGAACGTAAAAAAGCTTTAGGAAATAGTTTGCAAAAACTAAGGTTGAAAGAATCAAATGAAGCAAGTTTGTGAAAACATTTGGTAGACCATAAAGTACAAGTTATTATTATATAGCAATTTGCAGTCTACAAGCACAGCAGTTCACCACAGAGTAGACGTAAATGCTTATTTAAAAACTGCAATTCTTGCATACTGACTCACTGAATTTTTATTCTTAAAAAAGAATGTTAGCCGGGCTCGGTGGCTTAGCCTGTAATCCCACGCCTTTTGGAGGCTGAGGTGAGTGGATGGCCTGAGCCCGCGGGTTCGAGACCCGCCTGGGCAGCGAGACCTCATCTCTACAATAAATCAAAAAATCAGCCGGGTGTGGTAGCGCGTGCCTGTAATTCCGGCTACTTGGAAGGCTGAGGTGGAAGGATTGCCGAAGCCCAGTAGGTCGAGGCTGTGGTGGCGGTGGCCGGGAGCAGCCACTGCACTCCAGTCTGGGCGACAGAGTGAGACTCCAATTAAAAAAAAAAGAATGTTAGCTATGAAAGCTGGATCAACTATCTAGTTCTGAAAAAGGAATTTATCATAGCCTCAATAAAAAATAAATAAATAAATTAAAAAACCTACCAAAAACACTTCCCCCTTTTCAAAATACAGGTCTTCTTTTAGCCATGTGACCTTAAAACAGGTCACATTTCCTCTCTGGAACTAGGTTTCCTAATAATATGTGTCAGGGATCGTGTCGGGTGTTTTGCATATATTGTCTACCAGGTTTTGTTACACAGATAAAATGAAATAGAAATTATTATCCCCATTTTATAGTTAAGGTAGTTCAAAAGGGTTGGGAAACTTGGCCCAAATCATACAGATAATAAATCTTACATGAAACTTTCCAAAAACCTTGCTCTTCCCACCATAATACCACTTGTAAAGTGAGGATGTTTTCAACTGTCTCTAAAATTATTTATGCGATAAAAATACATGATTCAGTAACGCATTATTCTTCAAAAACATGCACAGGAAAAACATGTATTCGTTGAACGTTAATATCTCACTACTTTTAAGTTGTTGCTACCTAAAAATAATTTTAGATTTTTAAGGTAGAGACAACTCTTTGAGAGTCTATAATATTTAACCAGGAAATACAGAATTCTTTATGACAGATGTAATGCAAAGTGTTTAATACATTTTTAAAATGATGAATAAATGGTAATTGCTTGATAGATATTTTTTTTCTTTTTGCATGCATGTCTCTGCTGGCAGGAATAGATACTAATTTCAACCAAAGTTTTAACAAGTACTAAAGTTTTAAAAATATACATACGCAGTTTTTACTTTTAAAAATTGTATAGACCTTATTAATTTACTCCTGTTAATTTAAAAGTAACGTCTTAAAGACACACTGAAATACTATGCTCTAAAATAAATGCTTGCAGAAGAAAAAAATGGATTCGGTTTCCTAACAGCGATTTCTAGTCTGGTGTTACACTCTGGTGGTCACCGAAATCATTAGTTATTTCTTCAAAATATGCTACTTGAGACACCTTTTTCATCATAGACCAGTCTATACTATTAACAGCGAAACCCCTCTAAATTAGCCTTAATTGGAAGCGGAACATTAAAATATTACAAGTACTGCTAGCGGAGAAACTGAAACCATTCGATACTGGCGGAAAAACGGTATATCAGACTGGATGATCTATTAACTTAACAAGCATTTATTGAGAATTCTCTACATGCCAGGCACCGAGATAGAAGTCGACTATAAGACAATCCTTTGGCCCTCAAGAACACCACGTCCAGCGAATTGAAACTCCAGTACGACCCCGGTCTTTGCTGAATTTATTGTTGACAGGTATGAGAGCGGGTGGACCACACTATCTCACCAGTTCATTCTCCTGTCGGTCACCAGAATACCAACTCCAAACCATGCGTGGCGAAGTGAAGGGAAAAGAGACAGCTACCCTGAAGCAGTTGAGCGCAGAGAGTGTCCCCCACACTCAGCCTCTGAGGGGCTATGGGGACTCCTGGGTGGACCCCGCAGGGCCTGGCGCATTAGAGGGGCCGGGGAGGCGCCTGCGGTGCCGGGATCAGAGAGGCAGAGGCAGGGCAGGCTGGGACCGGCGTCTCGGTGCCGGCCCTCGCTCACCTCTTCCACCTCGATCTCCTTGTAGTCGATCTCTTCAAAGTTGAGGACCTGGGAAGGGGCTTCGATCATCTCACCGGCCGAAGACGAGGAGGAGGAGGAGGCGGCGGAGGCTGTAGACATGATCCCTCGCGGCGCCCGGGGGGCCCGGGGACGGTGCCGCGCGGACAATCCGGGTGAGACCCGCGCCCACCCGCCTCCGGACCGACCTTCAGCCTGGAGCCGCGCAGTCCCGCCACCTGGCGATCCGTGGCGGGGGTAGGGGCAGCGGCCACAGCCGTGTCCCGGCTCTGGCTCCGCGGCGTTTTCCGCTGCCGGGCCCCGCCCACCCCACTTCCGGTTCCGGTCTGAAATCGGAAACTGGAGGAGAGCAGCAAGCTAGAAGGAGGGTGGGGGGAGCTTTGTGACTTGGAAAGAGAAAGGATGGACGGGCTGGGGATAGGGTGGAGTAAGCTGAGAGGCAAGCTTAAACCTGTAGCACAAATTTCGCGAGACCTTCATTCACGGGCCTCAGCAACCGGATGATACCGCGATAGCTGACGCGTGACGTCATAAACGTGCGCGAACGGAAGTGGCGCGAAGCACGACGGAAAGTCAGTGCGGTTGGTCCTTTGAGAACCAGCGGGAAAGATAAAGGCTGGAGTTTTGCCTCTGCTCCGTGAACCTTTTCTCTGGGTGTTCTGCAAACGGGCGGGGTAGTGTTGGGCTGAGTTTTTGTGACGAAGCGATTTTTTTTGGCTTCAGTTCCAGACTAAGCTGAGCTGTTCTTTAAGATGCCTTGCAAAATGTGTTTACCTCCGTGTGGTATATGGAAGGAAGCAGTTGCTCCTGTTACTATGAGCCAGTCCTTGGCGCTTTGAGAGATTCTAAAAACGAGTCGGTGCAGGCATCCTAAATAACTGGACGCTCACGAACAGAAGTTAATATTCCGGTTTTACAGATCTTACTCGGATTAGGTGGATAAGGTACTTATATTTGGCCTAATTCTTCGTGTTCATCTCAAGTTATGGGGGAACTATACTAGTGCTTCAGATTGATAAATTTATCAGCAATCGCTTTGCAGTTGAAGTATTTCTGGTCTTAATTTTCAGCTCATGAGAAAATAGGCTCAGAGTTTAAAACAATTATGGTCCCCACAAACTAGATCAGGCCATCTCCAAGGCAGACAGTATCGCCCATGATGTATTGTACTGGCACAATTTTTGGTTTTAAACTAGATGTTAAACTTTATTTAGTTTGACTTTAAAAAAAAACTGGGGTTAGAGATGAAGATTTAAGGACCAAGAATGGATTCCTGCAAATAGCAATTTTTAGCCTAGAGGCTGAAAAGGAACAGTCTGAAAGGGGGAAAGTCAGGAGAAGGGTGATTGGTATGTTACCAGAGGAGAGCATTCCAATGAAATAGTAGCCATTCCAGTAAATTCTCTACAGAAGTAAAGTAAACACATTTGGGTTTGCCAATAGGTCATTGATTTGTCCATCGAGAAGCTATTCCAGAAAACATGTTACCACTTCTTATTTGTAGTTTCTAGTAATATTCAATGACAGTTTGTTGAGCGGATAAAAGAATGAAAGAAGCAATGATTTCTCTTCCTGAGCACACTCTTTTTGGATGATCTTAACCAAGGCCTTGGTGTACAATTTTTATAGTGACGTCTCTGAGTCTCCTCCCAATACTCAGATTTTTCCAGAATTCTGGATCTATTGGACATGTATTTAGATGTAAACACCTAAACTTCAAGATACAAAAAGCAAATTCAAAAGTTGTCACCCACCACAAATTTGTTCATCTCTGTGTGTTTCCTATATTTTGAAAGGATCCCCCATCCACTCAATTGTCCAAGTGAGAAGTCAGGGCATATGAGATGATGTGCAGCACTCTGATAACCAAATAGAAGCAGAGTTAAGCAATGGGATAATAATTTTCATCTGTCAATTCCTCTTCTTGCATTTCCAAACAAGGATGGTCACCTCTTACCTTGTGCTATCACTTTGCAGGTCCATGTTTTTCTTTAAAACCTAGATTTTAGTACAGTGGATGCTGCCAAGTGGAACTCAAGAAATACTTGTTATGTATTCTGGACAAATGAATAGCTTTTGTCAGTCCTCTTCCTGGCGCATAAGATCTGTTTCCTATACCTTCGGTTTAGGACTAGAATCCTGACAAAAGGCGAATCACTATAGCCATAATGCAGTTCTCCTGCTTGATTTCTTCCTAACATCTTGCTATGAGGAGTGTAAAATATAAAGAAAAGTTGAAAGAATTTTACAGTTAGTACCTGTATGCCCACCACCAAGATTCTTCCTTTAATATTTTACTATATTTGCTTTATTATAATATATATCTGTCCATCTATCCATCCAAGCATACTTACATCCATCTATCGTTTTCTGTTAATATGCATTTCAAAGTGCAACACATGACTCACATGTTTGCGATGATGCTGGTGTAAAAGAACCTACTATGCTGCCAGTCATAAAAGTATAGAACATACAATTATGCACAGTACATAATACTCTATAGTGATAACTATGTGATTAGTTTACATATTTGCTAGACTCTACTTAAAAAAAAAAATCATTATTGTAGAGTGTATTTCTTCTACTTGTATAATAAAGTTAACTGTAAAACAGCTTCAGGAAGCTGTTACCTTCAGGAGGTATTACAGGAGAAGGCATTGTTATTATAGGAGATGACAGCTCCATTTGCATTATTGACCCTGAAGACTTTCTGGTGGGATAAGATGTGAAGGTGGAAGACAATGATAATAATGTTCCTGACTCTACGTAGGCCCAGGCCAATGTATTGTTTGTCTTTGCTTTTAGCAAAAAAGTTTCACAAGTTAAAAAAAAGTAGAAAAAAGCTTATAGAATAAGGATACAAAGAAAATATTTTTGTAAAGCTTGTGTTTAAGCTAATTGTGTTATTACAAAAAAAGTCAAAAAGGTAACAAATTTAAAAGTTTTTAAGTAAAAAAGTTATAGTAAGCTAAGATTAATTTATTAATGAAGAAATGAATTGCTAAGATAAATTTAGTGTAGCCTAAGTTTACAGTATCTATAAAGTCCACAGTAGTGTACAGTAATGTCCTAGCCTTCACATCCACTCATCACTCACTGACTCACCCAGAGCAACTTCCAGTCCCACAAGCTCTATTCATGGTGAGTGCCCTGTACAGGTGTGCCATTTTAAAATCTTGTATACTGTATTTTTACTGTACTTTTCTATGTTTGCATACACAAATACCATTTTGCTACAGTTGTGTTTAGTATTCAGTACAGTAACATTCTGAACAGTTGTAACCTGGGAGCAATAGATATCCCATGTAGCAAGCAGATTAGCATATGGCCTAGGTACCTAGTAGGCTATATTGTCTAATCGTTTTTGTTAGATGCATCTCAATGTGCAATGCATTGCTCACATGTTTGTAGTGACGCTGGTGTAAATAAACCAACTGTGCTGCCAATCACCAAAATATAACACATACAATTTTCCATAGTACGTAATACTTGATAATGATTATGTTACTGGTTTATATATTTACTATACTATACTATACTATACTATACTATACTATACTATACTATACTATACTATACTTATAATCATTATTTTAGGATGTACTCCTTATATAAAAATATTAACTGTTAAAACAGCCTCAGGCAGATCCTTCAGGAGGTATTCCAGGAGAAGGCATTATTAAAGGAGATGACAGCTCCATTTGCATTATTGTGCCAGAAAACTGTTTGTGTAAGCACACTCTAGGATGTTCACACAATGACAAAATTGCCTAACAGCACATTTCTCAGAACATATTCCTGTCATTAAGCAATTTGTGACTGTATGTTGCTTAGCCTAGATCCAGGGTTCATGGAAATGTGAGCTTTGAGGAGGAGGAGAAGGAGGAGATGCTAACCAAAATAAAAATCTGAGTATTCTTAGGAACAGCAAAGAATGATTGCTGGGTATGCAATCAACAAATGCTCATTACTCATATATTTATTCAAGTTGATCTCTGTGATGGGTTCATTTTATGTCAACTTGACTGGGCTAAGGAATGCTCAGATTGCTGGTGAAACATTATATCTGGCTCTCAGGAGGAGATTAGCATTTGAATAAGTAGACTGAGTAAAGAAGATCTGCTCTCACCAATGTAGCCAGGCATCATCCCATCCACTGAGGACCCAGTAGAATAAAAAGGTGAAGGAAGGGTGACCACAGCTCTTCATTAACTGGAACATTTTCTCTTGCTTCTGGACATGGGGGCTTCTGGGTCTTGGCCTTTGCACTTAGGACTTATACTAGTCCCAACCTTAGATTTTGGAGTCAAATTGGGAGTTACACCATTGACTGCCCTGCTTCTCAGGTCTTGGACTGAATTACACCACTGGCTTTCTGGTTCTCCAGCTTGCAGATGCAGACGGTGTAACTTAATGACCTATATAATGATGTGAGCTAATTCCTATAATAAATCTCATCTATATCCTACGGGTTTTATTTCTCTGGAGAACTTTACTATAAGCTCTATACCAATAACCAAACATGTCTAAATCAAATATTCTTTCCAGGAAGTGCAGACATAGTTTTCTGCTTTACTATATTTAAAAATGGAGTATGCAGAGGATAGCCAATCCCTTAGCATTCTAGTGACGCCGCTGAAGAGCAGTTCCCAGATATGTGCCTTTATTTGATATCTGAGTTTGTTCCACATTTTCTACTCCTCACATCTTCGTTCCAGGTCTTTGGCATCCCAGGAGAAACTAAGCTGAAGTTTAGCTGACTCAGAGCTGCTGAAAGAACTTGTGTTTCACATGCCTTTTGGCAAGTGCAGCAACTCTAAAACATTCTCTGACATCACATTAGCTGACATTTCTATTTGTAGCTATGGTTCTTCCCCCTCATCCACCATCCAAACTAGCTGCAGGTGACTGCTTTGATGATACCCATGTGTTCTGCAAATAAAATGTTCATCATTGTTTTCTGGATATTTGCTACAAAAAAGTTCAACGTGTTTCAAAATTCATATCATCACAAGAAATTTGAACATTATATCTGACAATTAAAAAAAGAGAGCTGTTAGACTTTTGAATGCAATTTCAACTATTGTACATTTTTGAATGGTTGTAAAAATATTGAAATGCTTTTTTCATTACTTGTAAGAACAAAGTTTCTCTTTGGTGATGACTGTCAAGAATTTGAAGAGATCATCCTTAAGAACTCTGGATCAGGAATTGAATGGTAATCACCTCAAGTATAAAATCTTATATTAAAAACTGTATTCATGAAGAAAGGTTTATAAAATTTCTTATTAAAATTTTGAAGAATATATTTGATTATACAAATTCAGTGTTTAACATTGTCTCTAACACATTGGATTTTATTTAAAAATTATATAGTGTAATAAAACAAAGATTTTAAAAGTTCAGACCCAAATATATCACTCCAAATCCTTTCTAGTTTATCCCAGAGTATCTTACAATATCATTTTCTATCTGTACCATGACATGAAAAAGTTTGAGAAGCACTGAGCTGGGAGACTG